GCCGTTTTTTATTGATATGATAGTGGTAAATTTCCTGTTACTCAGCGAGATCCATTAGTGCTATGACTATTGGGGTTACTTGGAATTAGGAACCTGCTGTCAGACTGCTCAAGCTTTGCTAGACTCACTTCAGCATCCTTTGGGCATAACAGCGAGGCCAAATAAGGAAGTCTTGTCTTAATAAAAGGATAATTATAAATTGCATTGGTATTGACTTGTTGCTGTTCCACACATTTTCCCATCATAGCATGTATTGTTAACTATTTGTGTGGTAAATAATTAAGCAGTATTCAAAATTACTACTGCAGGGTTTCTACAAATTGAACTTATATTAATTTTACTACCAGTCTTAAAATACTGAAGTCATTATAAATATTTATATTGAATTTTTACACTTAAAAAATTTTAATTACATATGCTTATTACTTTACCCAAGGAAATGTGATAATTAACTACTCAATGTTATTTTAAAAATATTATAGCTTATGAATTTAGATGGAGGTAATTAATTTAAAATATTAGTGAGGAATTTACTTAAGATAGCCAGTCCAACTGTTATAGAACATTTTAATGTAAATTCTGGTTCATCCATAGAATGGACTGTCTCAGTCACTAAAATTTATGTTACAGATATATATTATTTCTGTGGACAATATATAATAAAATAGAACAGCTTACAGATTTAGAAAAAGATAACCAGTCCAAGTTAATATATCTGATAGAATTTACTCTCTTAATTAACATTTGACAATTAGGAGAGACCATTAAAGTTTAACTATCTGACAACAGAAAAAATAACAGAAGAGAGGTGTCCTTGCTGGCAGAAGCCAAAAACCATTTCTAGCATTTGAATAAAACTAAAAGTAAAGTTTTTCTAAATTTAGGTAAATCACTTACAGAAAAATTTATTTGAGTCATTCACGGAAAAATTTCTGTATTATAAGTTGGTGGATTTTAGCAAATATTTTTAAAGCACCTAGTAAATGCCAAGTACCCCACTAAGTGCTAGGAGATGCTGTTTGGATTGAAAGAATATTCTTGCACTTGACAGCTTCACTGTCTGGTCACTGTATGATCCCAGCACGGGGCTCTATCTTTAGTAAACATTCAGATGTTTGTTGAGCGGAGTTTGCATCTAGAAGAAAACTAGGCAAGTTTTCTTGAGTGTTAAATAACAGATAAGACAAAAATCATTGCTCTTTAATTTGAAAGGAAATGTGTAATATCTTTATTATATCTTTAAAAAATTTAGTTACTAATAGGAAAAGTTTGACAACTGTGGAGGTATATAGATTTAAAAAACATAGTTGACAGGAAGATGTTAGAAATATATGTGTAAATGACTAACCTAATAATTCATAGGTTAAAAAGTTTACTCTCAGTGTATTGTGCTCTTTGATGTCAGTCTTTCTGGTACATTTGGAAAATCTTTGGAAATGGGAAGTCCAAAGATGTCCCTACATTTTGTACCTCTGCTGAAGAGCTTTCTGATAAGGGGGAAAGTGAGGTTTGGCATTTGGAACTAGATTTTAGAGACTAACAGACAGCATCAAATTTTAGCTCTGATTAAAACCTTCTATAACTCAGCTAGACATCATATTGAGCTTCATGTATGATTTTCTGAGTGTCATCTCTGATTTATATTTAAAGTCATATCACATTCTACTGGTGACAAGGTTTCTGAACAGAGCCAACTTTTTAGCATCTGTTGTGTAACTCAGCTCCCTTGGAGAGGGTGGGCAGTGTTTTTTGGGTGGGAGTAGAAAAGGAAATAGACAACCACTGGAGGGATGAGCTGAAGGAGAGGGCTGCGGGCCTTATTGGGAGATAACAAAATGACTGTCATTTCCGTTCTGGTTTTAATCTTATTAAAAGAGCAAACCTCTTGTATGTTATCAAAGCATATCACCAGGTTTATGCCATGACCTAAGGGAGGGTGGGGGGATTAACTATATAATTCTGCATCGGGTTAGAGGGATGGGACATGGAGATTCAGGCAGATAAAATGGTCTCTTGTTTGCTCTAGTTCCTTGTGCACATAGGCACCTGGAAGGTTATCATGTTATCTGATTCTTAAATAGAGCCAGTCACCTGAAGTCAATGTTGCTTTTAGGAATATATGTAATTGAAGAACAGTTATTATGCAAAGTTTTGTTTGCAAAAGAGAGTAGTATTTCTCTTGTGTGACACTTGTATTTTATTTGACATACTACTATGCCCTTATTCCCGTAGGAATATTTTATTTGGCATACTACTATGCCCTTTAATTTCACAGAAATTTAAATTTTATGAAATCTCTTTTTCTTTTTAGAAGGTATGTCCTACAGGTTCTTTCTTTAATTGTGTATGAAAATAATTATTCATGGTTCATAATTTGATTAGATGTTCAGTATTTGCCCAAACCATATGAGCATTTTCTCTATATTCCAGTGCTTAGAACCAATACCATTTTAACAACTGACAACAAAACAGCATTTTCCTCTGTTGACATGACTTTTTAATTTAAAAAAATTTTAAAAATATATTTATTTATTTATTTTTCATGGTGACATTGGTTAACAAAATCCTATGTTTCAGTGTACACTTTAACAGTAAGACATATATATATATTTGCACTGTGTGTTCACCTCCCATAGTTAGATTTCTTTCTGTCACCACATATTTGACTCCCTTTACCCCGTCTACCTTCCTGCTCCCTCATCTCCTCTGGTAACCACTAGTCTATTGTTCATGTCCATGAGTTTCTGTTTGTTTGTCCTGTTCATTTGTTGCTTTTAGTTTAATATCCCACAAGTAAATGATATCATGTGATTTTCAACTTTTTCTGTCTGGCTTATTTCACTTAGCATGATTATCTGGAGACATGACTTTTTAGAGGGTAGTTTGTGAGTTATCCAGGGCGTGGTTTTTTTCCTTATGGCTATTTCCCTGTTTGTATATGTGCTAGGAGCCTGAGGAGTGAAGGACACCAATCCACTCTGTATGTGTTGCTTCTAAGTAATAGCTCTAGAACTTTCTGATGAGGGAGGAGTCAACTCATTATTGGGAGACAACATTTATCCATGCTGTTTCTTTTACCTCTATCTCTTACTTCCTTTGGCTGACATAACTGAGAACCCAACAACTACATTAAAAAAATACTCCTGATATTACTGACACTGTAATAATACAAAATGATAAGTAAACATGTAAATTGAATGATTTGGACAAAGTCCCCAGTGACTCAAATGGGTGGAGGAAGAATGTATGACACTCTTCTTCTAACAAGGACAACTAATGCCAGGCGTCCCTGACAATTTATTAGTTGCCTCAGCTCATATTGTTTTTTAATTTTTCTATATCACTAAAAGATTACATTTTAAGATCCAGGTTACTATAGGAAAGTCATTGTTAAGTAATGGTCAACTGCCACGAACTTCTTGATTTATACTCTGTGAGAATTATGTTCATATTAAATACTATTTCATTTAGTTCTATGTATTGCAAAACTGATAATAGTTTAAGAAATACCTGGTTAATAGGGAACAACTAGAGGAACTAATTTAGAACTCTCTTTCTTATAAACCTGCTCAGTTCTTTTTTACCTCCTCAGCTAGTGACTAAAGAAAAATAAAGTGGCCATGAAGGGAGAAAACCTTTCTTCCTACATGGCTTTCACTGCATAAATAAATTAGGAATCAAGGAGTTAACAGTTTTGGAAATGCTTAAAGTTGAGGGGATTGGTTTTATTATCTATATTAAATTGTCTAAAGACCTTTGTATGAAGAAACTATGAAAACAGAAAACATCTTTTGTTCATCAGACTAAATCTTTATAAGCCATCATTTTGTCATTTTGAATCCTGTTGAACAGCATTCTGAGGGTTATTAAATTGAGACTTTTGTCTTTTTTTATTTTTAGCACATTCAAGTGTATATATAAATCTCTGGAATGCTGAAGGAGTGACATTCCACAAGTGTCAGATTTTATTTTCTGTTGCCCATTGTGGAGACCAGTAAATTAAAAATGTTTGATTTTTAATTTATTCTTTCTCTTTAATTTGCTTTCCTATTAGAGCTCTGTTACAAAATAAAGAATTTTTTTTTTTTTTTTTTTTTTTTGTGTATGGATTATTGAACAGGAAAGTCACTGTTCCAAATTGTTTTCTGGCAATGATTAATGATTAATTAACCAAGATAGCATTAATAGAAAAACATTATTATAGCATTAAATTTCTATGTAGCCTGGCACTGTATTAGTCAACAACAAAAAATAGAATTCACAATAATCTAGATTTGGAACCAAAAAGTGTACTCTAGGTTGTAGATATCAAAGCTGTGCTCGTTTTTAGTTTTCTAGAGTATAGAGATATAGATATCTTTGCAAATTGTCATAGCAACTTAATCTTGTTTGACATTAGATTCTGAGGTAACTGTTAGTCTATTTCGGGGAGTTCTGGTACATTTAATTTTTCACCCAGTCATTTTGCTATGGTAACAAACCAATCAGTCATGGACTCAAATGAGTTACCAATAAGAATTAGTTGGCCATTAGAATGAGTTCCACTGTACTCTTTAATTCTGGCAAAATAATATGGTTTTGAAGCTACCTTTTAAAATAAGGATCGATTTGAGAAACAAATCAATGACAACGTTTAATTGAAAAAGGTATTCTTAGGGCCAAGCAAATTAAATTACCATAAAGAGTTTCTTAAACTGGCAACTTGAAACAATGAAATCTTACCTTTCTTTAATAAATGGGAAACTAACTGTTTTTAAGGACATGGCTTTGAATGTGGAAGCGTGTCTATACAGGCCGCTCCCCGTGGTTGGTGGCGCTGTTCTTACTCTCCTCCTTGATGTGTTTTCTTGGTCGTTTACTTTCCGTTGGGCTGTGGGCTGTGAATAACATATTAGGGATGGAATAGTGGCATACATGATTCTTGAGAATATTGAAAAGAACACTAAAACTGATATTGGCAGTCTTGTAATTGCAGATCTTATTTCTTTGTTTTCTTTCAGTTTGATTAATAAGCTTAAACCTGGTGTCATTAAGAAGATCAATAGACTGTCCACACCAATAGCAGGTTTGGTAAGTAATAAATTATCTTCAAAACTAGATTTCTTTGTTTTTGAAATGTAAGAAGATGGGCATAGACAGGTTCTTTTTAATAGAAATTAGGTTTGGGTTTGTTTTGCTCAAGAAAAGTATGTTTAGTGATGTCCTTTTCCTGCTTTTAGTTTTTCTCTCTGTGTATCTTCTGCTGGAAAGCTTTTATTTTATTGATTTTTTGTTTTGATTTTTGTGCCCTCAGACTTCATATATTCCCTTTTTTGGCTTAGTTCTTCTGCAGGTTCCATTTGTTTAGGATTACGTTCTTTTGAAGCTCAGCCTGCATACATCGTTTGCTAGCCGACCACAGTGAGGGAAACTGTCGATGTTCACCAGTTGTTATGTTTCTGGTACTTCTTGCTTCTGCATTACCCTCACTCAGCACACAGATCCTGGAGTGTGTTTACAAAATACTAAAGACCTGCTTGTCCTTTTGCTTTATGTGATAGGTTTCCTACCAACATCCTGTCTGGTATTGGGCAAGTCACTGGCTTCTTTGCCTCAGTTATATCCATAAAATGACTATAGATGATTCTCTAGATTTTTTTCAGCTTTGAATTTGGAATTTTGCATGTGAAAAATACTCCACACTGTCGTTATAGAAATACTCTGGTATGTCAAGACACTGGAGAGACCAGTAATAAGGTGGGGCTGTGTCTTTGGAAATAAATAATTTATAATTAAGTACAAATGATGGATAATTTTCGAAATGTTAGCAATATCTCAGAGTCAAGGTTGATGATAGAAGTCAGTTAAAAAAGTTAATTTCACAAAACACTGAAGTTTAAGAGCTAATAATTAGAATCTAAAAAAATATCCTTTTTAGAATAGTTAAGCTGTGCTTATAATACATTCAGGAACCTTCTGTCTGGCCATCATGTGTAGGCAGATATTAAACATATGAAGAATTAAAGGTAGCAGTACCAAAATTTCTGGGTTTGCAGCTGTCATGATGATCTCATCAAAATTTTGACAGGAATGAGTTGGTTGCAGTGTTTATTATTAGAAAATATCTGTCTAGCAACATATGAATATAGTGTAATATATGAATATAGTGTAGTAATAGAGCGAGTTGGAAGGTATTAAGAAATAAAATTAAAGAAATTTGGTTTTTGAAATTTTTCTAGGAAGAACATTCAGTTTAATAAACTAAATAGGCTTTATATGAAAATAACTTTTAAGAAATAACTTTTGTGAAAATTAAAAATTTGAATTATATTGAAAGTACTCTCAATATTTTCAAATGGCTTGAGTTATTCTTAGATTATGCTTAGATTTTAAATAGTCATTTCTTGGATCAATTACATGCATTTTGAATGAAATTAGCCTTTGATCTCAAACACCCTGCATATTTGGAATGCTTGAATTGTGGTGGTTTGTTGTTGTTGGCCACTAGAGGTTTCATTCAATCTTCTGATTCTGTGATGAGATGAAATCACAAATATACTGTATTTTTAAATCCAAAAATATCTCTAAATATTTCTGTATCAAGCATCAGAAATTCTAGCTGGTTTAGATTTTATCTCTAGACACTAAAATAAAATGTATTTCTGGAATATTAAATAGGATAATTTCCCAAACACAGGACAACGAGCATTTTCAGTTGACTGTGGGAGCATTAAGAGTGACCATAGCTGCAGAACTGGGCTAAGCCTAATAGGTTTGAAGTTATCATCATGCCTTCTTTGACTCCTTCTTCTGATGCTTGTGTGTTAGGATGGTTATATCAAACCTCAAAAGCCTTAATTTCAAGTGTGAATTAGAGCTCTAGCATCTACTTGGTAGGGTTGTTAATGAATGGTAGAGGATGGAAATGGATGATAGTATGACACACAGATGTTCAGTGAATGGTCTTTTAGCAAATAATTGAGTGCCTACAGGGTCAATAATTTTTCCAGTTTATGAGGATATGTTGGAGGAACAAAGATGGATAAAGACCTTACCTACAAAGTGCTTTCATTCTAGCAGGGGAGCAGGGACCAGGTACATAAATTAACAAATGAACAAGAAAGCACCAGATAATAAATGTGATGCAGAGAGTTACGGTAGATGGGGATCTTGTTGGACATCCATGAGCAGTTGTAGGGGTCTATGAAGATTGACCTCCAGGAGTTCCTTGAGGGAGTATGTCAGAAGCCTTAGATTTTGATACTTATAAAAGAAAGATGAAGAAGCTGAGGCAGACTTTTCATATTAGTAATTTTTGTGTTCACAGCATATAATATAGAGACTGATCATGAGAAGACCAAAGATTTTTTGAATGAACAAATGAATGAACGAGATTTCCATTCTGAAAAATGATATGCTCTAGAATGAGATATTTGATGAGTTAATGTTATAGGTTGAGTTGTGTCTGAATCCACGCCTGCCCCCTCCAAAACAGATGTATATTGAAGTCCTAAACTCCACTACTTCAGAATGTGAACTTATTTGGGAATAGGGTTATTGTAGATGATGTAACTAGTTAAAATGAGGTCATACTTGAGTAGGGTGAGCTCCTAATCTAATATGACTGATGTTCTTATGAGAAGATGGCCATGTGAGACAGATACACACAGGAAGAATGCTATGTGACAACTGAGTTTTGAGTGATGTATCTACAAGCCAAGGGACACCAAAGATTGCCAGCAAACCACCAAGAAGAAAGGAAGAATTCCCCTACAAGTTTCATAGGGCATGGCTTTGTGGACATCTTGATTTTGGACTTCTTGCCTCCAGAACTGTGAGACAATAAACCTCTGTTGTTTTAAGCCACCAAGTTTGTGGTACTTTGTTATGGCAGCCCTGGGAAAGTAATATGGACAGGTAAATGTTTTAGTTAAATTTTGAAGAGATTGTCATGACAGCTGCAAACCCACATGCTTTTTAAAAGAACTTTTTTATTTTTAAATATAGATTCACAGGAATTTGGAAAAAACAAAACAAAAAAACAAGAACAGTGCTGAGAGGTCCTCTGTGTCCTTCACCCATTTTCTCCAGATGGTAACATCTTGCATAAATATGGTACAATATTAAAACCAGGAAATTGACATTGGTACATTCAAAGACCTTAATCCGAATTCACCAGTTTTACATGCAGTTAATGTTTTTTTAGTAACAGAGAGCAGAGATGCTTTCAAGCTAAGTGAGATGAGGAGTGTTTTAAGGAATTTTCCAGAGGACTTGCCCATTAATCCAGTGCTCAGCAGAAAGATGGCAGCCACATTCCAAGTGATTACTTTCTTCCTGTTGGAAATGGTGTCTCTTAGTTGAGGTTCCCAAGAGAGGAATCTAAACAGATCAGGTGTCATGGGTCACTGACCAGCCTGTGCATGAATTCCTTGAGAAGAGAGTTGTCTTGGCCAAATGGGCTGTGGTCAGGGGTGTTGGTTCCCTTTGGCTAACTCAGTGCAGGTGTGTGGGTTGAAGTGGGTTCTGTGAATGAGGTGTTTGTGGGGCAGATACGCTGAGTTAAATCAAATACATTAAGAATTACACAATTTCTGTGTACGAGTTTATTAAGCTGAGTGATTATAGTGCTCTGTGCCCTCTTATCCATTACTCCCTCTTATTTTATTTCCTTTAGCTATAACTTTTCTATTTCATGTCAGTGACCATGTATATTTAGCTTTGAAGCCGAGACAGTGGATTTACCCTTTGCACATGGACTTGTGTGAAAAACATGGATTGTTCTCTGAGCAATGATGATACAGAAAGAAATGTTTACATAATTTAGGAATATATTGAATGCTCTTCTTGAACTATTCATAATTATATTTTTGGGGGTGGGGCGGGGGGCGGGAAGGCAGTAACCATGTAACAAAAGAGATGTGGCTTTTCTCACTTGACTGAGTTTTATTTATTTTATAAAGAAATTGATTTCTTCTTATCTTTTCTTAACAAAGTTCTGTTCTTTACAAAGACATGCTAAAAAAAAAAAAATCATTGAAACTCAAAATAAAAACTTTATTTGGGAATAAAAAAGTTCAACTCCAAAACAAAATCCTGAGAAACAGGCAAGATATTCTGATGGTGAAAAGAACCACTGAACCAGAATAGTGTTTACCATCTGATGTATTAGTGTGAGTGAAATACAATATGTGTAGAAAACATCGTGGAAGTTATTAACCCTAACTAAGACTATAGTCATCTTGGACCTTTGCTGGTTTATTTCTATTTAGCTAAAGCAAGGTTTCTTAACCTTGGCCCTAGTGTCTATTGACCTTTTGGGCCAGATAATTTTTTGTTGGAGGTGTCTGTCCTGTGCATTATAGAATGTTTAGCAGCATCCCTGGCCTAGCACCGTGCCCTATCCCCCCACTCGAGACAGCTAAAAATATCTCCTGACATTGCCAATGACCCTTATGGGAAAAATCATTCCTGGTTGAGAACCACTGAGCTAAAGAATCAAGAAAGTGTCTACAGCCATGCCACCCTGAACAAGCCCGATTCCATCTGATCTTGGAAGCTAAGCAGGGTTGGGCCTGGTTAGTACTTGGATGGGAGACCACCAGGATAACCAGGTGCTGTAGGCGTAAAAAATAAAAAAAATAAGGGATTGTAAGCTGACAGGGTCCTTGCAATCTGTAAGGTCAACCAAGGGTTGCCTCGCCTAAAAAAATAAATAAAAAAGAATCAAGAAAGTAAACAGTATCACTTTATAGGGCTAGTTTTCCAACTATAGAGATTTTATTGATCTACTCATGCTTGCCATTTCAATTTCAATTTCCCTTTGAAAAGCAGTGGTATTCCGGGAAACTTGGTTTAACCCATTCATTTGTGTGAATGTTTGTGTCTGTCAGGGGACTCAATAGAAAAATCCTCAGTATATCCACACTTGCATCAAAAATATGGGCTGGATTGGAACATCTTTACCCTAAAGGGTTACTCTTTCAGATTACTTTCAAGAATGGAATGTGTAAAGTTTTGACTGTAGAGGCTGAGAGGATTGTCTTCTCATTCAGGAATGCTGTAAAATTCTGGAGAATGCAGGAAATGCAAAGATACCAGCTAGCTTAAGCTGCTGGATGTGTCACTTTTTCTTGCCTTTATATTGGCTACTTCAAGAAATAAGGCAAGTTTTGAGATTCTTACTGCCATTTCTCACAGATTATTAGTGGTTAACATTCTTGTACCTATGTAAAATTATTTCTGACTCTTTCATCTTCACTCTCCTATATACTTGGGTGTCAACAATCTAGTCTGTGTCAAGGTCACTGTTAAAACACCTAATTTGTTCCTTTCCAGCAGTAACAGAATATTGACTTGAGGAATTTAAATATTCTTATCCAGGTTTTATCATGTGCTTTTTAAAAACCCACTCTCAGGCGATGACTCTGTTTATCCTCTTTTCTTCCCCAGGGGTAGAGGAGCTGTGGGGGTTGGGAGAAGGGAGGTTTGTGAGACACTGAGCTTGTGAGCTCTTTCTACAAATAAAAACAAATAAAAAAAATAGAATATGAGAACTTAAGACAGTATTTTCAGAGAAAAAAGCCCATTTCTGTTTCCTCTGCTTTCCCATCCAAATTGAAGTAATATAAGTACGAATATAATTATTATTTTCATTCAAGGGTGGCACTTTTCTGGGTAGAAGGCAGGAATAAATTTTGTATGATTAAAGAGAAAATATGCAAGGAATAATAGAATAGGATATAAAATTGGGTTAGCCGCCAGTATCTGCATTGCTTGAAAGAGTGGAGACTGAAAGTTAAACCCAGTGTGGGCCTCAGAGGGAGTATCTCTCTACTTGGTAATAAGCAAGATATTTTTGTGAATATATTTGGATGTCGATGCGTATAAAACACTGATAACAAGTGACAGAATGGGAAGATAGTCCTGTGAAGCTAGTTTAGAATAACCATTTAATGGTAAGATTGATAGTGTTTATTTTCTGTTCTTGAATTTTATTGCTGATTTTGTAGATTCCCTTGAGGAGATTTTCCACCTAGCAAATTTGGGAGAGGTTTTCACAAAGCAGATTCTTTCTGATGTACTCATCCTGTCTCTTTGATTGCTTGGCCAATAAGAGCAGCATTCATACAGAGGTGATTTGGGCTGCCATGATCTCCATCTCCACATGGATAGGGGACAGCATTGAAGTCACCTCCTCTCAATGAACTCTTATTTAGTTTTCATCTTCTCGGTTTCCTCACAGTTGATAAATAATGAAAGCTAGATGTTTCCATAAATTACTACGCTCTTTAATTTTTGTTTGTTTCTCACCTATCACTGTATTGGAACAATTTTATATATGTTGGATCAGGCCTTGGTGTTTATTGAGTTAAAAGATACATTTTTTTCTATTCTGTTTCCTAAGGGAGACAGTGAAGTTTAAATGATATCAATAAACTTGATTAAAACTGCTCAGTTGTCATCTCATTGTTAAAACTATGCTAAAGAAATATTTTTATTTCAAAGGGAAGCTAAACCACGGTTACAAGTTGTATAATTTAATTGTACTTCAAACACTAAAATTTAAATTATTCTTATTTTATGAGTTTGTCAATCACATTATTTTCTTTAAAAACCTCAATAACAAAAACATAAAGATATAGGTGAGTACTGTAGTTTTGCTGTTTTTAATGGCTAGTTTACACTTGTTTAAGAAATTATAGCATAGAAGGTAAGCATTTACTAAAAATAAGGCCACTTTATGCATTGAAAATGACATTTTCCATGATTGTGTTTTAATTTAAATATTTTTTTCTAACATATATTTTACTGGAATTTCTGTGGACCACCATCTATATTTTGAAATAGTTTGGGGTTATCTAATAATCAGGAGTATGAGAAAAGAGACTGAATGAGGATGGTGTATTGGCTGTCTTCAAGGTAACAAATATTAGATATTAAATATCTAAATGCTTTAACATACCTCGACATAAATGGCATATAAATAAGTCAATAATAGTTGAGTTATTTATGAAGTATTTTTAGGCGATTTCTTCAAGAGTCTCCTTGCCTCCCTCCTTCTCTCCAACTCCCAATTAAAGATAAGTATCACCAAAAGTGAAAGCTTAAAAACTTAGTGTCAGCTTTGAAGTTCTTTCCAATAGCCTCATAATGATGCAGCACTGTCAGTCAGGAAACTCCTGTTTTATTTCTAGCCATTATCTCTTAGTCACAGTTTAGGAGTACTTCCCTGGAGTTCCAGAACTTACTTGTTTTTAAATCTAGGTTGAACATTTATATGCCAACTTTCGGCCTTGAGGGCAATCTTTTTTTAAAACATAATGAATTCGAATTCTTAAAGCAACACTATAATTAACTTGTGGAAATAAAAAGCAGTGATTCAGAGCAGGATCATATCATACATGACAGTTTTATTCAGATACAAAAAAACTTGGCACATCTCTCTTTAGAAACCTTTTCTTATGTAGAAATTAGAAAGGGAAGAAATGAGATTAATAAAAAGTAGAACCCAGGTGTAAGACTGATATGAAGGCATTGGTCACTTGATGGGTTTTAGGCCCATGACTATCCCTCCCTTCCTGAAAACATTTATTGAACACTAACTATATGCCAGGTACTGTTCTAGGAACTTGGGACACACTCACACATAAGGCAGAGAAAGTTCCTTCCTAATGGAGCACAGTCAATAAATCAATCATAAACTGTCAGGTGCCAATAATTACCATGAAGAATATATAATACTTTGCTAGTTACCAATAATTCCTCTGGAAAAATAAAGTGAATGGGCAGAGAATGATTGAGTGCATGTATGAGAAGTTTATCAGAGAAGGTGCTCAGGGACGTCTTATTTCTGGAGTTGACATCTGATTAGGGTGTGAATGAAGTAGGGGAGTGGGAGAATATAGGGATGAGTAGGAGTTTTCCAGTCAGAAGGAAAAGAGGGGGGTTCAAGGCAGGACCCACAAGGAAGACTACCAGTTTGAAACTGAGTGAGGTGAAGATGTAGGCCAACGAGGTTTTGTAAGGCTTCGTGGACTTTGGTGAGTAGATCACATTTTACTCCAAATATCATGAGAAGCCACTGGGGGCTTTTGAGAGAAATTTAATTTCTTGTTAGAGATCATTCGTTGCCTGTGGTAGAGGTTGCACAAATTTGTGAATATATTAAAAACCACTGAATTGTACACTTCAAATAAGTAAATTGTATGGTATGTAAATTATATCTCAAAAAAAACTTAAAAATAGAAAAAGATCACCGGTTGGTGTGTGAATGGTAGTATGAAGGACATCAAGAAAAGAAGAAGCAGGAAAGCCAGTTCAAGAACAGTTTCAGTAGTTGTGATGATTAATTTTGTGTGTCAACTTGACTGGACCACGGGGTATCTGGATATTTTGTCAAACATTACTCTGGGTGTGTCTGTGAGGTGTTTTTGGATGAGATTAACATTTGAATCGGTAGACTGAATAAAGCAGATTTCTCTCCCTCATGTAGTGGGCCTTATCTAATCAGTTAAAGGCTCGGCTAGAAGAAAATGGCTGATTTTTCTGTGAATAAGAGGAAACTACTTCTGCCTGATTGAATGAGCTGGGACAATTGTCTTTTCCTGCCATCCCACTGGAACTGAAATATTGGCCTTTCTTGGCTCTCAAGCCTGCTGGCTTGTGATCTGAAACTCAGAGTATCTCACTGACTGTCCTGGTTCCCAGGCCTCTACACGTGGACTGGAACTGTACCATCAGCTCTCCTGAGTGTCCAGCTAGTAAGTGGGCTTATTGTGGGGCTTCTCAAACTTCATAATCACATAGACTTAGGAACAATGTTTTACAATTATAGTGAGGGAATCTTTGGATTTTCTTGACATAGAAATGACTAAAAAGTGAGTCAGTCTCATAAAGCAGGGAGTCCCTGGGGCTGGAAAAGCTTGAATAAGATCTGAGGATCGAGACACATCACATATAAAAGTGATTCTATGAAGGGTGGTGGGAGCAGCTGCACTGAAGGAACGTGAATTTTCAGTGAGCTCTCAAGT